TCCCCCGCAGGGTCCGAGCTGGGGAGGGTGCCCAGGCGCAGCCGAGCGGGCCAGGTCCCCCCGGGCCACGCCAGCCCTCTGGCTCCACGGGGCTTTGTCCAGCAGGCCCTCACTGGGCACAGAACAGCCCCTGTTCTGACAAAGGCTCGGCCCCGGCGCTTGGAGACGTCGGAAATCTTGGTGATGCAGCAGAAGCTGCTGGAGCCCGTGGGGACTGAAACAGGGGCCGCCCCAAGCAAGTAGCAAATCTGGGATCAATTTGAGATCTGTAACCCCGGCCTCAGACAAGCTGCTGCTGTGGCGAATTCCTTAAAGCAACAGGCTAAGTGAACGAGAAAGGAGGAGAGAGGGAAGAAGGGAGGGAAGGAAAGAAGGGAGAGAGGAAGAGGCCTCCCTTTGCTTTCTGTGCAGAAGGCTGTCCCACTGCCTGTCCTCCTCCTGGCTCCCACACACACGACCCGCCTGCACTGCGGGTCCACCGTGTGCGCCCCCCCCCCCCCCATGAATTTAGACCGCAGAGTTCCTAGGGGATTTTAACATTTTTCCAAATAAAAGTAAGGGCACTGGGAGCAGGCAGACCTGACTGGAACTGTAGCTCCTATTCTTCATCATTCAATCAACACACATTTATTGAGCACCTACTACGTGCAGTCTCCAGGCTGACCACTGGAACGTATCAACAAGACAGAGGAGGGTGCTGCTTTTATGGAGCCTACTGTTTTGCAGGTGGACAGGGTGGCAACAGAAAACAAGCAAAATAATAATAATAATAATAACAACAACAAACAAGGACACATCGCTGGGTGGAAGGCAGCTCCTTCAGAGGGGGTGGTCTGGGAAGCATGTCTAAAGAAGAGACAACTGAGCTGACCTGTGGGACAGAAGGCAGCAGCGTGAGCGCCGTGTGGCCCTGGGCTGGCGGCTGTTCACCTCTCTAACCTCGGCTTCCCGGGAAATGGATGGACTGTAGGACTGTCGATGCCACAGGACGATCCACTGAAGCTGCCCAGGGCAGGGGTGATGCCACCTCCAAAACCCACCAAGTTCAAATTCTACGATGTCACGAGAGGGAGACTTCCTGTAGGCAGGGGTTACTGTCTGGTGTTTGCTGCTCTTTCCCCAACATTAAAACTGTGCCAACCCTGGCCGGGTAGCTCAGCGGGTTAGAGCATCATCCCGATACCCCAAGGTTGTGGGTCTGAGGATCCCCAGTCAGAGCACATACAAGAATCAACTAGTGATTGCCTAAGTGGAACAACAAATCGATGTTTCTCTCTCCCCCGCCGCCACCCCCCTCCTCCCCTGCTCCCTTCCTCTCTCTCTCAAATCAAATTTTTTTAAATTCTTTAAAACTCTGCCAGGGACAGAGTAAGTGCTCAGCAAACACTGTGGAGTGACAGTGGCGGCCTCTGCCATGTGCATGCATCAAGGCTGAGACTTGCGGCTCGGCGCTGTGATGGGCACGGCTGTCCCGGGAGTGTCAGGCTGCCGGGGGAGCTCATCCCATCCCAAACAGGTGATAGCTCGGCTCTGGGGCTCTGTGCCCCCCCTCTGTGCGTCGTTGGGGTGACTTTGCTTTGGAGGGCCGATATTCAGAATGAAAACATTACTTAAAAAGTGAAAACAGGAATTGACTTGTGAAAATTGAGGGCCTGGGGTTAAGTGAATTAGGGAACTCTACTCAAAGAAATATTCTGTTGCCATTTAAAGTGTTATTTACAAAGGACTTCGTGATACAGAAAAGGCCTTATGTTACGTGGGAAAGGTAGGGAATAAAAATACTTGCGCTACATGGTTATAATGTATAGGCAACGTACACACAGAAACACAGCACAAGCTAAAATGGTCCTGTTGGTTGTGGTTGTCTTTGTTTTTTTTTTGGTTGTTGTTGATTTCTGAGAGAGAGAGAGAGAGAGAGAGAGATGAAGGGGTGGGGAGGGAGACAGAAAGAAACATTGATTTGTCACTCCACTTATTTTTTTTATTTTTATTCTCACTTATCTTCAGATAGAGTGGGAGGGAGAAAGAGAGGAAGAGAGAGAGAGAAACATCGATGTGAGAAAGACACATCGAGTGGTTGCCACCCACACAACCCCAATCGGGGCCAGGGACAAACTGCAACCAAGTTACGTGCCCTTAGCAGGAACCGAACCCGGGACTCTCTGGTCCGCGGGCCGACACTCTAACCACTGAACCAAACTGGCCAGGGCTGTCACTCCACTTATTTATGTGCCCTGACCAGGACTCAAACCCACAACCTTTGTATATTGGAATGATGCTCTAGCCAACTGAGCTACCAAGCCAGAGCAGTTGTGGTTGCCTCTGAAGGCAAAGTTAACGTTAGGATTTCATTCAGCTCTTTTCTCTATCCTACAAGGGTTTTTCTGTTTGTTTCCTAAAATATTTTTTCTTTATTGATTTTAGAGAGAGAGGAAGGGAGAGAGAGATAGAAACATTGATGAGAAAGAACATAGATTGGCCGCCTCCTGCATGCCCCCCACTGCGGATTGGGCCCACAACCTGGGCATGTGCCCTGACCGGGAATCGAACCATCAACCTCTTGGTGCCTGGGTTGACGCTCAACCACTGAGCCACACCAGCTGGGCTTTTTTAAAATTAATTTATTTTTGTTACAGATGTTTCTCCTTTGTCCCCATTGACACCCTCCTCCCCAACCCCACCCCCATTCTACAGTTTTTAATACACATGCACACGTTTAATTTTTGTTTTAATCCTCACCCAAGAGTTTTCCATTTATCTTCAGATAGCATGGGAGGGAGGAAGGGAGAGAGAGAGACTCATCGACTGGTTGCCTCCCGCAAGAACCCAACCAGGGCCCGGGACCGAACTGAAACTGAGCTACCTGACCTTGACCGGAATGGAACCCGTGGGCTGATGTTCTAACCGCTGAGCCCAGCTGGCCAGGGCTACACATTTACACATTTTTTTACATTTTATACTTATAAAATACAAATAAATGTAGATAAATATATTACATAAAAATTTGATACATCAAATGTATATAAATGCATATAAATAAAAAATACAAATACATAAAAATAAATAAACTGCATACTTTTTTATTGTTTCCTTTCTCATTTAAACTACTCAAGGACAGGGTGTTGGCTGCTGGGCTGGGACTATGTTGCCCAGTTTAAGTTCAAAGTTCACATGACTTGGCTAACCTATATGTCTAAAACCCTCAGATCAAGAGAAGGAAGCCTCAAGCAAATAAATCATTTAAAAGAGAGAGAGAGAGAGAAGAAAGCTGCACTCCTTGTGGTACTGCTCTGTTCCCACGAGGGAGGCTGGAACGAAAGGAGACAGACCAGCCCACATGTAGTGAGGCTGAGAGCCCCAGACTCTGGCCCTGCCAGAGACACGGCAGCGAGCACTGACACTGTGCGACACTCCCCAGTTATTCCACGGCGGACACACACATGCGCGGGGCCCGGCCAAGCCACAGCACGTGGGCTCAGACATGTTCACAGCAGCACAATCACAGAGCCCAGTCTGGAAGCAGCCCCCGAGCCCACCCAGCAAGAGCAGAAGGGTCAGAGAGGAGATACACCCCACAATCTGGGACCCCCATGCGGCCACAGGGATGAACAGACTCCAGGGTGGGGCAAAAGCAGGTTTGTGAGTACGCAGAACACAGCGTTTATTCTTGTATCACTGTGTACGCATTTCTGGGTTCTTTTCCAGACGAACAACGGGAAACTTACTTCTGCCCCGCCCTATGTAATACGCATGCATCGTGGGAGAATCGTGTACTAGGACACTGAGCCAGAGCAGCCAGGCACCAGGGAGCAGGTGCAGCTTGATGGCAGCTGGCAAAGAACCCTCTGCTGTTAGCAATCCGGGCAGAGGTGGGGGTGGGGCTTCTGAGCAATAGGCTGTTTCTTTAGCTGCAGCTGGTTACAGGAGTATGTTCACTTTAGGAAAATTCACTGAGCTGGCCCAGCCACTGTGGCTCAGTGGTTGCGCGTCAACCCAGGCACCAAGAGGTCACCAGTTCGATTCCTGGTTAGGGCACATGCCCAGGTTGTGAACCCGATTCCCAGTGGGGGGCATGCAGGAGGGGGCCAATCGATGTTCTCTCTCCTCGATGTTTCTCTCTCCCTCTCCCTTCCTCTCTCTCTCTCTCAAATCAATAAAGAGCCTTGGCCAGTTTTGCTCAGCGGTTAGAGCATTGGCCTGCGGTCTGGAGAGACCCGGGTTCGGTTCCCGCTAAAGGCACGTACCTCAGTTGTGGTTTGTCCCCGGCCCTGGTTGGGTCGTGTGGGTGGCAACCACTTGATGTGTCCCTTTCACGTCGATGTTTCTCTCTCTCTCTCCCCCTCCCACTCTATCTGAACAAAATATCGAAAAATGTCCTTGGGTGAGGATAAAAAAAAAAATCAATAAAGAAAAAATAGTAAAGAAAGTTCACTAAGCTGTGCATGTATGAGGTGTGCCCTTGAGTGTGGATGTATACGTATATATAGAAACTTGTGCATAATATTTTAACATCAGTTTATCCAGGGAATCAAACACACCAGGTGGGACAAGTGGTCACACCTGTTTCCCACTTGGTCCTTTGATTTACCTGGACACAGGTGTCATTCCTTGTAAGAGAGCCTCTAGTTGCCTTTAGTGTGAGCAGAAGAAAAATGAGAGAAGACGGGGGTGGGGGATTCTCCAGTTTTAAACTTTATTTGGGACTTTACTGGAGACTGGCTGCATAAACGCCAACAAGGGTTCAGATTCAAATGATTTCCTTTCACAGGGTGAGGACAGACACGGCGGAAACAGATGTTCTGCCCTCTCCCCCCACTGGCTTGAATGTGTCTCCCGCAGAGAGGGTGAGAAAAGACGTGCGGACCAATATGTAGCTGAAAACATGTTTCTGAAGAACACACACTTACTAGGATAATTCAAAGTTTCCAGAATTTCCCTCGGTCATAGTTTCTGCTCCTAATTAGCTTTCACCAGGAACAACGGGATACATACGTACTTACCTCCAAATCACAGAAGCTTCAAAAAGCCCGAATTCCTTCCCCCTGGACAAAACCACCTGTTCTGAATGGACAGGACAGAAACACTCACGTCGGGAAGGGCACCCAGCCGGGCCGCAAGGCAATTCGCTGCCTAAGTTCACATCAAGGGAAAGTGCATCTTTTAAAAACTGAGAGCCAGGCCAGTGTGGCTCCGTGGCTGAGCGTCGGCCCATGCGCTGAAAACTGGAATGAGTCTTTGCCATTCCGAAGCGAAACCATTCTAAAGGGCTTCTGTCCCTCAGTGTTGTCATCTGTCAAGTAGGGTTGTCGGGAGGACCGAGTGGGACAAGCCACAGAAAACTCTCAGAACAGGCACCAGGAAGTGGTTGACAACGACAACAATGCTCATCAAATTAACCTCCGCAACCCAAGCGACGAGAACAGCCACTGCACCAAGTGCAGCCTGGAAATGTGACTGCTGTTAACTCATTAAGCAAAAGGAAACATCTGGGGACAGTGCGCGGGGCCTCCATCCAGCCTGCACAGCACGCGGTGAGTGATTTAGGTTGGGGGCGGGGGTGGGGGGGTCAGCTCCAGTCCACAAGACTGTGCAACATGCTTCCAGAGAGCTCTGGAGGCTGGACGGGCGAAAGCCAGCTGCTGTGGAACGCGTCAGCAGCAGCTGAAGATACCGGCGTATTATTAACAATACCGAGCGATACCACACCAGCCCACAGAGCCACACGAGGTGCTTCTTGCACTGTTTCCCGGGGCTGCCATAACAGAAGAGCCAGGTGGCTTGCACAACAGAAATTTGTTTTCTCAACGTTCTGGGATTCCAAGGTCAAGGTGTGGGCAGGTTTGGATTTCTCCCACCACCTGTCCCCTTGGCGTGCAGAGAGATGGCTGCCTCCTCACTGGGTCCTCAGATGGTCTCTCCTGTCGCCCTGGGTCTCTGTGTGTCTTAATGGCCTCTGCTTAGAGACTGAACGAGACTCACCCTACCGGTCTCCTTTAACTTTTGTCTTCAACGACTCGACCTCCAAACACAGTCACACTCTGAGGTGCTGGCGGGCAGGACTCCCACATGTGAATGAGGGGAGGGGTACACATCAGCCCTCCGTGCTTCCCAAATGTTCTCTTCTAACAGCTCAAAGCTTCCTTGGTTATTAAATCAGAAGCTGACCTCATAGCTAAGAACAATAGTCCAAACATGAATTTCCTGCGCAACGGGTTTTTCTTTTTTTTTTTTAAGACAGGATGAAGTCACCTTTAAAGGACAACAGGGACCAGCGGCTCCTAACAGGTGCCACTTTGGCCCCTCCCCCCACCGCTCCTCACCCCCCATGGCTGTTCACACTTCACCTGCTTCTTCCCCAGGGAGGGCAGCGGAAAGGCTCCTCCCTGGCAGGTGGCAAATGCCACAGGAATCTAAACGGGAGGAGGCAACAGCGCCCGCCCCTCCTCCCCTTCCCAGACGCCTTTCCTTCCAGGGCCGCCTCCAACGGGAGCCTCCCATCACCCCTTCACACTGTGTAGACAATGACAGAAACAACATCAAGATCCCCAATCCACTTGGTAAACTAACCATTGTTTTTTGTTTCTGTTTTTATTGATTTGAGAGAGAGATGGGTTTGTTGTTCCACTCATGTATGCACTCATTGTTTGATTCTTGTACGTGCCCTGACCAGGGATCAAACCCTCAACCATTGCGTATGGGGACGACACTCTAACTAACTGAGCTACCCAGCCAGGTCTTTTTTTTTATTTTATTTTTTTATCCTCACCCGAGGATATTTTTTTCCACTTTTTGTACAGATAGAGCGGGAGGGAGAGAGAGGAAGGGAGAGAGAGAGAGAAAGATCGACGTGAAGGGACACATCGAGTGGCTGCCACCCGCACGACCAACCAGGGCCGGGGACAAACTGCAACCAAAGTACGTGCCCTTAGCGGGAACCGAACCCGGGTCTCTCAGGACCGCAGGCCGATGCTCTAACCGCTGAGCCAAACTGGCCAGGGCCCAGCCAGGTCTTTAATCGTTTTGTTTAAGTCATGTTTTTCGGCCCTGGCCAGTGCAGCTCAGTAGGTTGGAACACCCTCCTCTGCACCGAAGGATCTTCAGTTTGATTCCTGGTCAGTGCACATAGCCGGGTTTCGGGTTTGACCCCTGGTCGGGAGGCAACCGATCAATGTTTCTCTCTTTCTCTCCTCCTCCCTTCCCCTCTCTCTAAAATTAAAAAAATAAAATAAAAATTTTTAATCATGGTTTTCAGATAACTTGGCAAAATAAAAATTTTAAAATCGATTAGCACCACCAGATTCTCCCTTGTAGCAATAACGTTACACCTTCACACAGGCAGCATCATTTGGGCACAGGCCCCCTCGTCCCCAATGTCAGGAATGACTCGGGGCACACCTACCGACCTCACCACCGATCACTGACTCCCTACTTTTCTCCAAGTCGCTGCTCCTTTGAACTAAAACAGGAGGAAACTTCCCATCACTACTACCAAGAGAAAACAAGAATCACTCGGGACACACAGAAGGCACCATAAAAATAATGGCTAGCCTTCCGGGGTTTGGCCCTGAGCCACCTGCAGTGATCTCTGGAGAGGTCCCCCACAGGCCGACCTTGGAATGCCTGTCTCGGTCTCCCAAAGCCACACACAAGGAAGCAAGCAACGGAGCTTAAGAATCCACACTGTCCTAACTCTTCAGGGAAGAGTCCTCGCCAAACACCTCGCAGCTAGCATTTTTCTTTCTAAATCAGCCCAAGTCCAGTCCCTACCACGAGTGAATCTGGAAACACTCTGTCCCCATTACCAAAGGTGGTCATAAAATGCTGGCAGCCCTCATTAATGATTTTCATCATTTGCATCTGGGTAAAGACAGCAAAAGCCAGCATCCTGTGCCAGGTATTTAGAATGACAGCCTACGTCCTGGCCAGGTGGCTCAGTCAGTTGAAGCGTCATCCCATATGCCAAAAGGTGGCGGGTTCAATCCCAGTTGGGGCACATGCGGGAGGCAACTGGTGAATGTTTCTCTCTCACTTCAATGTTTCTGTTTCTCGCTCTAAAAATCAATTAAATAAGTTAATTAATTAATTAATTAATTAAATGATAGCCTAGCCCGTTTGGCTCAGCATTTGGAGCATTGGACCTCAGACCAAAGAGCCGCAGGTTTGATTCCAGTCAAGGGCACGTGCCTCAGTTGCAGTTTGGTCCCTGGCCCTGGTCAGGGGCGTGCAGGAGGCAGCCAGTCGATGTGTCTCACATCGATGTGTCTCCCTCTCTGTCCTCTCTCTCTTCCCCTCCCACTCCATCTGAAGATAAATGGAAAAATATCCTCAGGTGAGAATTTAAAAAAACAAAACAAAAAATGATAACCTACCAAGTTCTTATCTTTATTCTCACAGCAGTTTTCAAAACGCGATACCCCTTGACTGCCACCCCCTCATCCTCTACCTGCAGTCACTCTGCACAACTGTAAGTCGCTGTAACTGGAGGGAAAATGAAACAAACACGCTGAGAAGCTGGCTTTGAGGACAGCGGATGAAACGCCTCCCGGCGGCCGGCCCTGGCTGCTCAAGAAGCCCTCCCACGTCTCTTCATTTGGAGTCAGGGTCATCCTGAGTTCTTATCGGGTTCTGCCGTGCATTCTTGGCCCCCAATAATTGCTTAATCTTTCTGGGACTCAGTTTCCTTATCAGTAAAACAAGGATTAAAAACAAAAAGCCAAAGGACCATTCTACAGCACAAGTGAGGAAACACTAGTTCCAAGCCAAACACTGCAGATCCTAAATATTCCTACTCCCCCTCGATGGTCAGGGGGCCAGGTCACATTCTGCACCGCCCAGCCTTGAGATGCCCCTGCTGCACCCACCAGCCAGGTGGCCCGCAATGTCCCAGTGGGACGGGAAGCCCAGTGGGGGAACCTGGTCCCCAGGCCTACACACCCCTGTGCATTAGCCTCACCTTCCCGCTGTAACAAATTACCGCAAATGTATCCTCTTCCAGTTCTGGAGGTCGGGAGTGCAGAGTGATCTGGGGCTAAGGTCAAGGCCTTGGCAGGACCAGTTCCTTCTGGAGGCCCCTGTACTCCTCGACTTAGGGCCCTGCCTCCTTCTCCACGCCAGCAGCCTGGCACCTTCCAGTCTCTCTCCAGCTCTGAGACACTCTCCTGACTCTTTCAAGGACACCTGTGATTACCCTGGGCCCACCTGAGCCAGCCAGGATCGTCTCCCAACTCACAATCAACTTCATCACATCTGGAAAGTCCCTTTTGCCATGTCAGGTCTCATAGTCACAGACCCATGGACATCCTGGGGGAGGTATTATTCTGCCCACCACCCCAGTAAATACATACTAGGGTGCACGGAGTGCTTGGTGTTCCAAACTGCTCGTGGGTTGAGTCTCAAAACAGCCCTACGAAGTATATGTAATTGTCATTCCCACTTTACAGATGAAAAACCTGAGACCCAGAGAAGTCAAGTAATGTGCCCAAGTCACACAGCTAGTGAGGAGGGGAGGCTGGGCTGGAGCCCAGCTCCTCACCTCCCGGCCCCACGCCTTTTGCAACCCACCTCTGGCGTTTCTACAAGAAGGGAACTCCGCCCAGCCAGAAGCAAAAGCGCGTGGCATCAGGAAATGGTTCCCGGCAATATGGGGCAAGTGTCCTGTTTCCCAACTAACCCACAGCAGCAGAACGTGGGCTTTCTCACGAGAGGGGCTCCGGGGCCACTGGATCCCTTCAGCAAGTCGCCTTCCCCTCCCGGCAACATGACGTAATCACTGAGTGGCATCCTACGGGTCTGTTTTTTTAACCACAAAACCCTCCAACCCCCCTAAAGCATAGAGCCTGACTGGGTTCAAATCCAGCCCCTCACAATGATGAAGTCTATGATTTCCAGCAAATTGTCTAACATCACTGAATCTGAGTGTTCTTGTCCATAAAGTGGGGAAACCAACTCCCAAAACTCACAGTCGTCATGAGGATCGACAGGACCATCTAATCTCAGTGCCCAGCAGAGCACGATCCATCACATCTTAATTTCTTCTTCCTTTAACTCTCCTCCGCCCCCCATTATATTTCAGGAAGCCTGGCCATCACTCTGTCCCGCGTTTCCATACACAATTCCCACCTCCACAAGGCTACTTCTACAACCGTAGACTGAATACAAGAACAGACTGCAAACGCCTGGCCCTCGAACACATGATCTGAACCTGAATTTGTGTCACTATTTAGGAAAAAAATTTGTTCCAAAGTAACAAATTCTAAAGGAGC